TCTTTCTGTAAGCTCCCTTGAAATCCACATCTCTGCATTATTGCGCTTTTAGGTACTTTTCCTGGTCTTACTGGTCAAAACGAGAACATTCTGGTATCATGAGTCATTTCCTTGGGTCACTAAGCACATTATTTGTATTGAGCACAATAGAGGGGTATTTTGCAAGGCAAAGTGATATTGTAAGTCACACAATGTTATCATATCTGTTTGGACAAAAAATAACCAAAGATCAAAGCCTCAAAAAAGAGTGACATCTTCCTGGACTTCCTGGCCATCAAGGCACAGTTTCCTGGACGGAAGAATATGGTGGCGGTGAGATAACAGAGTTTTCGACCTTAGTAAAGTATGACGTTGCGTTTTCTTGGGATTTATTTCACAATGGATTAATGTGACAGCTTATTAGCGGGTGCAGCCTGTTGAGTTAATTATGGATGGGTCATTGAACCTTTGACAGAGAAAAACAACCGACCACKGTCAGTCMTTGTAAACACTCATTGGCCAGCACGAAACGTTSAACATGGTCCTTCTKCAAGCTCTCCAAATGTTCAAGCTTAATTGCATGTACATGGCCTTAATACTTGTCTTCTTAATCGGGAAAGTGTTAAAASGAATKCAGTTTCTCCGTGCATCCATTACTAGAGTWTTTGATGCAATAGCAACAGAGCGACTTCCTCCAGAGTCGTACTGGAACACCCTTTTTGGTGCTGAGATGTTCCAACATGTGTGGCACAGCGTTGAGCTTGATGCAGCAAAAAAGGTTTTCCATGGCAAAAAGGCAGTCAATTCGCCGGTTTTCTCGCTCGGTGACGGACAGTACCATCGTCTGTTGGAATTTGCACAAAATAAACGCCCTTTAGTGTTAAACTTTGGCAGTCAAACGTGCCCTGTGTTCATGAAGCGACTGGAAAAGTTCAACGATCTGATGGCGGAATATAAAGATGTTGCTGATTTTGTGATTGTTTACGTTGAAGAAGCGCATCCTCAGGATGGCTGGGCATTCAAGGTAAAAAATGTTTGCAATTTTAAGTTTATTTGTAATACGCTGTGAGGAAAATACCCTGCGAACAGAGGATTGTTCCATCTCCTTCTACGAAGAAAGGAAAAATACTGTTTTTCTGTTTTTCCTTTCGTAGATAGTGGAAAAATTCCTCTGCTCGCAGGGTATGAGGAAAACAAAACAGCCAATAGATCAGGAAAGTGTTGTTATGTTGGCATGTCAACAATTTGCTTACATTGGTAGTGAGTCAAGTTTTTTTTTCATGAAATAGTAAGCAAGTAGAATYAGTTTTGAAAAACTAGTTTACGGTCTCAGAAAGAAAAATATTTTGAACTTTAAAATAAACGGAAAGGAGAGTCCTAGATTCCAAGGAATTTTCTGATATTTTTCCAACCACAGTTTATTAAATAATTTGAAAACATGTATGAAATATCACAAATAAGCTTATTGAAATTAGGATTTACATTCTAAGCAAGCCGGAGGTAATAAAAAAATCACGTAAAAACATCTTTTTGTAACTTATAGTTACACCTAAAACTTTATTAATWCATAGAAAGACATGAAAAAGACCTTTCAACTTCATTCATTTGTTAAAACAATCMAACAGTAATCTGAATTATTTTCGAATAACATATTATTCGCTTTCTCAAAAAGTGTTAAAAAAATAGAATTTTAATTTTTGATTTTAACAACACAGGACACCAACAATAATATTTCAAGCCACAAAACCCAAGGTCAGCGGTGTTCCACAGCGAGAATGCTATCCCAGCATACACCTTGTCCCATATTAGTCGACACGATGTTGGACGCAGCTAACATGGCCTACGGWGTATTTCCCATCAGGCTTTATGTTATCAAAGAAAACCACGTGGCCTATCAAGGAGGAACAGGCCCCACGGGATACAACATTGACGAGGTGTCTGATTGGTTAAAAGAGAACACGAGATGCCCATAAAGCTGTTATTTGATTGGCTGCTTCAATGAGCGGCTACAAAGTTACGAACTGTCACGTCACGACATGTAGGAAATTACGTGATGTGTACGTCATTAAACTCTCTCCAGTGCCCGTATGGTTGGTTGCTTTGACGCAACAGAACTGACATTCTTATACTTTATAGGAAATTATAAACGGCAATTTATTTTCTGAATTGAAATGATGAAGAACAGAAAGTGCAAACTCACGACAAAAAAGTGATTTTTTTGAAATATTTACAACTTAAACCGTATTTATGCTGTACATAGTGAACATTGTATATTCTATTTATACATTATTAATAATATYATCCATATCAACATATCTATTTTTGTTGCTCAATAAAAATTTAAAAAGTAAACCAACTTGTTAGGGAATGAGGTGTAACCTAGACAGCACAGGTAACCCAACCCATCAGGGTGCGTCGAAAATGATACTATCGAACCATTTGATAACTAATGGTTAACTTATAAAACTATATATTGAAAAATTATTGATATCAAACGTGCATCCCGATTGGCCGACGCAAATAGAAATGGCAAGAATGAACATGCACTCTGATTGGCGGATTCTAACGGTTGTAAGAACATAAAAATTTTTCTATATTCCTGACATTACTAGCCTTGAATAGCATTAACGCGTCATGGGCTATTGCCTTACTTTTGCCGTACGTGACAATTCAAAAGCCAGGTGATATAATAGTCTTGGTACGTGACTGCACTGCATTGGCCTGGCAGTTCGCCCTGGACTTAGATACTTAATATCTTAAGCTAATTRTCTAGACAACGAAAGTTTACGCTAGCCCCAGGCCAAGTACCAAGTACTTGGCATACCATATCAGTATACCATGTACATGTATCGCTTTTGTTTGTTTTTTCTTTCTTTTTTTTTTTCCTTCGACATTGAAGTGGCTACTGTATTTTGCAAAGATTTAGAGATATTTGTTCGCTAATTAATTGATTTTTGGGTTAAAAGAGGTATTCTCTCAAAAAAGGCTAAACAACATGAAGTTGCGAAAGTATGTTTCCCAAAGTGAATCATTCTGTTCGTCTTTCAATGAATGTCAATGCCAGAGTTTCTCACTGATCCCAACCTTTTCAAAGAAAGCTGTTGAAGATAACACCGAATATTCTAACTCATTTTAGTCATTTCCTGAATTTAAGGCAACAAACCAAACAGACGATAATTGAACTTTYGATAGTTGAAAAATGTCATTTAAATCAATACCCACAGTGCCCTTCGGTCGTGCAAGTGTCTCCAATCTGTCAAGACAGCCGTTTCTTGAAGTTGGTTATATATTTTCACATGTCGATTTTACAATCAGGTGTAAATTAAAAAACTAATAAAGAATTGAAACGACCCAGAATTGAACCTATAGAGCCGAAATAATAAACTCGAAAAGTGTGCTCAAAGCAGCTTCGAAATGACATACAGGAAACTGAGAAACTACGTTTCATGTTACAACGGTAAACAACATTTATGAGACCACCTAATAGAGTCATCACACTTGCACCGTGAAACAAAATCAAAGAAGTAGTAACTATTAGTTTTTATTTACTGACTATTTGTATCTAACAGTAGATATCACTGAACCAAAACAATTCTTAAAAACAAAAGGTAATACACAAGAGACTTGGAAGCCAAACAACTTTATTAAAAGCTACCTAATGAAGAAGGAGGAATTTGTTAAAAAATGTCCCACCCACAAGGAAAGAAATAAAGAGCTAGTTTTGTTCTTTGTTAAACCCAGAGGAAAGATGTCGGGAAGGGCTAGAGCTTGTGTTAAATATAGTCTTCATCCTTCATGGAACTCGAGTTTATTGAAAGGCCATAAAAAGAATTGCCCTATATTGTTGATTATAGGGTGAAAGTGAAATAGATAGCTATAGTAACTAACTTTATAACTGTTACGAGTGCTGCTGGAAATAATGATTTAGTAACTAATGCCCCATGCTCAAAAGGTACGTATCTCACAAACACATTTCCGAAATGATTAATAAGATTTCTTGTGTTTATTTTGAGCTTCAAGCAAAGGATAAGTTTAAAACGTCGCCGCTGGTTGTTGTCAAGTCGCTTTTTTATATTGACTAGTCATCAAATAACTCAGCTTTGAGCGATAGAATTCGTTCGAAACCATGCACGTTGTTTATATATTTTTGCGGGTCATTTCAGTGCGTCTTGTCTTGATTTTTAGTTCAGGTTCTTAATAATAAACTCGTTAGAAAACACGTTCATTTGCGTGGTGGGTTTGATATTACAGTTTTTTCAATTTAGCCTTGTAATGTCTTCTGTCATAATTTTGCTGCAGCGCAGAGAATAAAGATTCCAAACGCGTTTCATTTAGTCTTGTGTGGTTATTTTAGCTTTAGATTTGTCTTGTGTCTTGATTTTAACTATTCTACAGCAGCGCAAATAAATAAAGATTCGTTAAACGCGTTTCCTTGCGTATTGTGTGGTTATTTTAGCTTTAGATGTGTCTTTTGTCTTGATTTTACGGCAGCGCAAATAAATAACGATTCGTTAAACGCGCTCCCTAGTGTATTGTGTGGTTATTTTAGATCTAGATGTGTCTTTTGTCTTGATTGTACATGAAATAAAGATGGTAGTTGTCAWGTCTCTTGTGTATTGCCTTTTGTTTTCATGAAATGTGTTCTGGTTCAGTAATATCTACTATTAGTCAATAAATAGACACTAATATTTACTGTTTATTTTGATCATATTTCACGGTGCAAGTGTTATGACTCTATGTTCATCAAGTAAATCCTACTTTCTTACAACATATGTTGTCTAGACTCTTTATTGTAATGTTGTGCAGGAGTACAGATCCCGTATTTTTTCTCGGAGAAGATCCATTTTTCTGGGAGGCGGGTTAGAACTCTATATTTCAAGAACTGCATGTGTTACAATCTATATTCAAATTTTCTTGCGAGAGTCTCATTTATGTTTGCCYATCGTTTTAGCTTTAATTATATGTATGTCACCAGACTCAAACATAAAATAAAAACAACGTACTACTATTGATTGTAAAACGATTATAAGTGATATAGTTCAAGAAAWGCGTTTACAAATTGACCGATCCCGATTCATTGTCCTACCTCMCTAGTTACTGTTGCTACGTCGGACAAGCGAAAATATTCCTTTTATATAGAGCACGGAAAAAATACCGATTGCTGCGATATGTAGGAACTTGCCTTGTGATATATGTTTTTTTAACATTTTCATTAACATTTTCATGAGGAAAAGCTAATGAATTTAGTAAAAATAGTCGATTTTGTGTTTGTTGCTCGGACAGTTTCAATTCCACTGGGAAAACTGCACATTGTTTGGTGATTAAATAATCTTTGTGAAAAAAGGGATTTAAATTAGGAGGAGCCGACGGGTTCCTGGGAGAAATATATGTTCTTATGTCCCAGCCAGCTGTAAATCACCAATTGTTGACAGCGAGAAATTCAGGAAAAAGAACTCTCCGGGCAAGGAATACTCTCGTATAATTTTTGCCAGGAAAATAAAAATATCCAAACTAAAAAAATATAAGTGYCGTGCTTGTGACCGGGGGTTGTAACTATACAAACTTGTCCAATATAAGTATTATTTCGGTCTTTAGTGCATTCCCTTGTTGTATTAATTGAAATTACGGTTGAACCGACGATTTAAAAAAAAAAAAACATAGACTGCCTGACGTTTAGTTCTGGGACTAAACGTCAGGCACTCGAAAAATCTCAAAATGCCGTAGCCGATGGTTTCCTTGGATAAATATTTGTCTTATGTCCTAGCCACTGCTGTAAATCACAAATTGTTGCCAGCGAGAAATTCAGGAAAAAAGAACTCTCCGGGCAAGGAATACTCTCGAAGAATTTTTGCCAGGAAAATAAAAATATCCAAACTAAAAAAATATAAGCGGTTTTTGACCATAAAGYCTTTTTTGACCTTAGAAACGTTTGCCAGGAACAAAATTATTTTAAAGAAGGAAGGACGTCACATTTGCCTGTGAGATTGTCAACAATGTAGCTCAAAATATCTTTCCCAGGAAAAAAAATCGTATAAGAACAGTTATTTAGAAGAACAGACCCCCGTCGGCTCCTCCAGTTGAATACTCCAATTTCGAGTTCTGGTTTGCTCTGTGTTAGCCTCAAAACCAAGTAACATAGACAATAAATCTGATTTGAAATCTCACACTTTTACGCTCATGCACAATAAGGAATAATTTGCGCACAAATGAGGCTAACACAGAGCATTGGAGAATTCGAAACTGGAGTATTACTAAGGTTAGACGATGTACGTGGCAGAAACCTTCATATGCATATTGGTTTGAAAAGGCATTCACAAATCATCAATAGAATACTAATATGTCAAAATTTAAAGATCGATTTGTGAAATAAAAACTCCCAAACAAATAAAATAGCCGTAGATCAATAATTGTTCGGCAACTTTAAAAGATATTTTAGGGCACACGTWATTAATACGATTGCTTCACCTGTCGCGATATAAAATTTCATTCATTGGAAAGAGGRAAGAAAAAAAACATTCTGACAGCTGTCAGTAGAAAAAAAAATAAAAGAAAAAAAAGCACTTTTTTCTTTGATATCAACAATTTAAAAAGTATGATTTTTGATTTTCAATTTTGAAAATTTGCCGCCATTTTGAATACGTTTACTGCTCTGGTKCAAAGTGCTATTGAAGTGACCACAAAGCATCTCTCTATTTTTGACGTTTTATTTAAAAAAAGCCCATTTCAGATATTCTATCTTTCAATCATCAATGGCCATTCTTTTCTAGGAAAAAATACCATAAAATGCTCAATYAAGAAAACGCTTTTTTTAGTTTTTAACAAGAGGTGTTCATTTCCTTGCATGTGTTAATCACCCATTCCAAAAATGTCTGAGAATTATATCGGAAGTGTAATTAGACTCGGACTCATTCATTTTTGCTTTTAAACTGGCCTGGTTTTATTATTAAATCTTGAGCAATTACTAGAACATTATGTATTCATTGGAAGACAGAATTGAAGTAGATAAACTGACAATAAATAAAACTAATTTTAATTTTTTCTATTAACATTATGGATAAAAAAACGCAAAACATACATTAAGCAAGATCTGCTAAAGTGTACATTTGAAAGACGGTCCCAAAGATCTGAACTCCTAATATCGGATTTGAACAAACATAAAGTTATAAAAGAAAGACAGAAATAAGTATGTTATTTCTAGATCACTACAACCGCTGCATTGTCCAGGAAGGCACTTTTCAAAAATAACATCGAAATCGAAATCAAGAAGTTCGTGGGGATTTCACAACAACTGAAAAAAGTCTCCTAAAATGTTTCCTAGTAATACGGTGAATATTTGCGAGGATGGAGCTCGGGAATGATACGATATTTTACAATGCGTGCGTCTTTGATCACCCGCGGGCATACAACGATAAAATGGGGRTATTACCATAAACTTGACGCGAAAAAAGTGTCTCGATGCGATCGTGTAACTTAAATAAGTGACCAACAACAATATACCTTTATTGATGTATAGCGATTTTATCGTGCAGTTCAAACACATACATTACAGTAATTTATCTCCAAAACTGGTATTTACAAAAAAAAGTAATATAAGTAAGATAAGAAATGAAAATATTACGAATGATGGAAAAAAATGTTTGAATGAAAGACGGAGATATTATGAACATTTAGTGATGTCCTTTAGTCAAGTGATTCAAGTGTGACCACTTTCTTCGGCCATTACAGAAACGGCATTTGAGGAAAACATGCGTTTCACTGCGTTACGAATAGCRGATATTCTGTAGCAATACAACACAGGGTTGACAGAAGAATTCATGTATACTAAAGTCATTGTTAAGTTACGAGTAATACCGAGAGAGACCGATAGTTTGGTGCCGTCAAAGCAAGCTTGAACCAAGAAATAGGGAGAGTAACACAGAATCAAAAACAGGAACAACAGAAACATATTCGTCGCAGATTTGCGGAACTTTGRCAAGTCTATTCCAGAGCTTTGGTTGGCTATTTTTACCGAGGGTTCGCGAGAGGCATTCCCTGCTTCAAAGAGTGCGGTAATTTGGCTGTGGTGTCGACGACGAATGAAAAATAAGTTGATATAGCAGACGACATTGATAATAATGCACGAAGGCATAGCACAAACACTGGCATAGAAGAGAACTTTACCAAAGATTACGTCCAAAATTGTTATCCCACTGATAAGTATCCAGGGAAAGAAGCATGCTGACAGGACCTTACGCTTGGTCACAAACGACTCGTAGCGCAGATGGTAATGAAGACAGAAACAACGCTCCAAGCTAACCTCGGTCATCGTTATGAAAGAAACCCCGGCAAAAAACACAGAAATGATGCGGCAGGCATTGGAATATTGTTCGTATGATGACTTTGCGCCATTCACTAACCAGTCTACYTTCCACATGACGTAAAGCGGCTGGCCTATCAAGCCGACTCCGAGATCGGAAATAGCGAGGCAGAACAGCAAAGCATTACATGGTTTTTTCAAGTCAATGTATTTCGCCATCGCAATGACGATGAACCCATTTGCGACGATTGCAATGAAACCAAAGAAGGCATTAAGCAAAGAAGTTATTAGAAAGGCAGTGCGGAATTCTTGGGAATGATTCTCAACGAACTTCAAAGCTTCGTTGCTCCTCAAAGACATCGTAAACATCAAATAATCAGAACCACTGCTCTCAAGGTTTTATTAAACAATCAKCTCTTTCCGGTGGAGTTATTCACGGATCGTCCTGTTCACTCAATGCCTTCATTAGGGAAATATATATGTAGTAAGTGGTCTTTTCCAAAAAAAGGTTGTTGCTAATCACCTAATGCATTCGATTTAACCTGTATAGAGTTTAAACAAAAGATCTTTTTTTTCTGTGGGAGTTTCACATAACTGCTTCTAAGAGTATTGACACGATTTCAGACGATTTCCTTTTCAATACAAGTAATAACTAACCGCTAACCACTGGAAAAAATCGCGCGCTTTAAAGGTTGTAAACTTAATGTAAATATGATGTAAGTGTTCAAAATTCTGTAAATTTAATCGAAATCATTTACATCAAATTTACAGAATTTCGGACACTTACATCATATTTACATCAAATTTATAACCTTTAAAGCGYGCGAATTTTTCCAGTGTAACTATGGTCTGTGGAGTAGATTTGAGTACCGGAACTCCGCCGACGAGCTGGTATCAAACTTAAGCTTGCTCTAGGCTCTCCAAAAAAATACATTTGCGTAATATAACTACCGCAAAATATTGACGGCAATTTCTATAAGAAAAAATATACGTTACTGGYCAAGTGGTGTGACATAGGAGCCAATACCCAGCATTCATTTCCCCGGAACTAACGTGCACCTTCAATATTTTTCAAAGCGGTGCTTATAGCTTTTTATTATATAGATGATTTCTAACGCACGCTCTGATTGGCCAAAAAAGTGTGGTTTATGAGAGTATAAACCACGAAAAAGGCAACAAAATGGATTTTTGCTTAATAAGTTTTGYTCAAAATCTCGCTTTCAGCTCGTGCTTCTTGACATTTTCTCGTGTGTTTCAAATACCAAGCGTGCGTTTATCAGAGTATAAACCACGGCTGAGCCTTATTTATTTGTTAAATATAACTTTAAAAAAAAGGGGAAAATGACCAGTTGTCAATGAAATTTCAAAATAGTGAGCAGTTATTCATCCGCAGGCAAAATTCACCATTCAAAAGCATTCAAAATAAACTTGTTAAAACCGTCGCCGGTGATTCCGSCTTAAAGACAGTTTTCCTGTCCATTTGAGTGTGTCTTTCCCTTTCAGTTTTGGAGAATGAAAAATAATATTTTTTTCTAAAATGTCTGAGTTGTAAAAGGCGTATTTTGAAAAAGTACTTGACTATAGAAACAAAAAAGTGTCCTCTAGATACTGGCGTGAAGACCGGCGGCCATGCAGGAGGACTAATGAACAATAGATATAACTAATGAGAAATCCTTTGTTRAAGTTCCTCCAAGATGGCCGCTGTGACGTAACTTGAAAACGAAGAATWAAATTCAACATGAACGCACATTGTATGGACACTTCCGTGTATTCAAAACCTTGAAAYGCTAATTCAAAAGCATTATCACCCATTGATAAAAGAAGAAAAGGTATTTTAATACTCAAGACTTTTTCAAAATGATTCACATAGCAGTCACTAAGAAGTTACTATAGGAACAAATTATAAAATCATAAAAATAGATAAATTATTGTAAACTATCAAGTTCACTAGTGACGCAAGAACAAGCGGAAACGGAAGAGCAAGCCTMATTCGACGTAAAAATCAACCAACGCAGTGATGAAGCAAGCGCAAGACAAGATTTTGGTTGAAAACAAAGTTCAAAAAATTAAATCAGTAATGCATTTCGTTTTAGATTTTCATTTAAAAACATACATACCATATTTCATGAATTTGAAAAATAGCAAAGCACAAACGAGTCTGTCTGTCTATCTAAGTAYTTTTCTTTAGTAAAATCTTATTTCCACACTGAGCCACTGGAATAAGTTCTTSTCTGTATTCCATGGGCAAGTATTTCTCGATTAGAGAATTTAGCGATTGCTTGGAAGTAACAAACCCTTGCCTATGGAGAGACAAAGAAAGTTTTCAGTGGCGTAGCGATGGGGGAGACCAARAGGGGCGAACAGACCCACAACATTTGGGAATTTTGCTAAAACGTATTTTAATTTAAGAAAATATATTGTAAATAGAATATTTTTTAGCTTGTTACTATGGTTCAGCATAACCTTTCCATTACAAAGCGATCTGATYATTTTTAAATACCTTTTCATAAGAAGTTCTACGTCACGTGTCTCTATGGTAGCCCGCCCAGCGTGTTGACAGAAGGCCATCAAATCACCTGACAACTGCTTGAAAAACAAATTGGATCTGTAGAAAACAAATTGAAAAGTAGTAAATTCTCGATGTACTTCCTCTACAGAAAAKATTAAAGGAAACAAATATCTATATCAACCCAAAACGTAAATAGAATGTAGATAGAATATGTGAAGACGTGGGGCGCTTTTTTGAGTGAGTGAATAGGATTTTCTTTATAACGCGAGTTCATCTGGAGATGGTCACTTTTCCCGCTTTTTTTGGTACTTCCCGTTGACGCGCGCGTACCATTTGAATTTCCCGCTCTTTTTTTGTACAACCAGAGTTTGGACCAGAAATCGAACTGAGACCACACATGTTTTCGAAGGGATTTAAAAAGACAAAAAGTAAGAGGAAAAAAATAAATTAAATAATTACCCTTTCTGGATAATCTGAAGAGTTTCTTTGTTCACTCTACTCTTTGAAAAATGCTCAAATATGCTCTTCACAAGGCTTGATGGCAGACCCACATTGGCAGATGACGTCCTAGTAGAATTACAAAGGCATGAAATGAGAAGAGAAAAAAGTTGAAAGAAGACACGGGAATAGAATAAAACGGATGAAGAAGAGTATGAAGAAAAGAGTAAAAAGGAGTGTCATTTTTTTCCGAAGTAATAATAATATGTGGTCTTATATAGCGCATTATAAAATTTTTCATATATAACGCGCGCTCTGATTGGCTGACGACCGTGTTTATATCAGAGGACAGAGACACGGCTTACCGGCAAAATTTTCTTTTCGCTCGAAAAATTTTATAAAAGAATTATTACACTGTTTCAATGCGCTTTCACAACGAAGTAATCCTTGAAAGAGAAGAANTTACCCTTTCTGGATAATCTGAAGAGTTTCTTTGTTCACTCTACTCTTTGAAAAATGCTCAAATATGCTCTTCACAAGGCTTGATGGCAGACCCACATTGGCAGATGACGTCCTAGTAGAATTACAAAGGCATGAAATGAGAAGAGAAAAAAGTTGAAAGAAGACACGGGAATAGAATAAAACGGATGAAGAAGAGTATGAAGAAAAGAGTAAAAAGGAGTGTCATTTTTTTCCGAAGTAATAATAATATGTGGTCTTATACAGCCCTTTGCAAACATTATGAGAATTGTCTAAATATCTAAATATCATAATATCCATTTCCATTATTGTCCGGAACACGCGGGTTTGCTAGAATAATGGCATCGTTGACATCGAGAAAATGTTCAGAACTACGGATAAGTCTGTCGCCAAAAAAAAACTAAACTACAAAGACAATGGACTAAGGGCATCGCACGGGATTACCCATCATGCACTTGATATTATGATATTTAGATATTTCAACATTTCTCATAATTTTTGCAAAAGGCTGTATAGCGCATTATAAAATTTTTCATATATAACGCGCGCTCTGATTGGCTGACGAGCGTGTTTATATCAGAGGACAGAGACACGGCTTACCGGCAAAATTTTCTTTTCGCTCGAAAAATTTTATAAAAGAATTATTACACTGTTTCAATGCGCTTTCACAACGAAGTAATCCTTGAAAGAGAAGAAATGACAAATAACAAGACAAAAGAATCCGAAAAGAGACAGAAAGGAAAAAAGGAGAAAAACAAATAAAAAGGAGAAGAAAGAGATTATAATTATTATAATAATAAGAAGAAAAATAACATAATATATTTACTTAATATAGCGCTTTTTAACATTAAATTGAGCAAGAGCACTTACATAAATATATAATATATAAATAATTACTATTTGTTCACCTTTTTCTCACTGCTGCTCTGTTTATAGCTTTCTTTTTGTTAATAGTGGTTGAATGCTTTCTCCTGTAAAAAAACAGACATACATGTATACAGTAAACAGGTGGGCACTAGGACAGCTCTTTCCATTCTGGATAAGGGCTGGGGCTGCACAAGATCACTTGACAGTAGCAGTTTGTAGTTTGTATCATAAATATATTTTTATGGTAACATTTTAACAATATGTACAGCACTTTGCTGTTGCTATTGTTATTACTATAGGGCAGGGATGGCATACACGTACATTGTATACTCCTTTGCTGGTATTTCTAAAGGCCCATTTTCACTAGTAAAGTGGCTATATTAAATGTGACACACTCACTGAAGGAAGCCCAATGAACGTTTTTCATTTTTTATTCTGCTTCCTTCATTGGGTGGGCTTCCACCTCTCAGAAGATAACAAAACAAAAAAAGAATGAAACATCAAAAGTAACCATAGAATTAACATAAAGCGGAAGTAGCTTAGGAATTGAAAAATATTCTTATTGAATTTATCAAGAAGCAATTAAATATTCTTTTGCTACAGACAAGACATTTTTCTTGAATTTTTTAATTTTAAGTGAATGGAATGCCCTAATATTTGCCATTTTAACTCCTGCAGGGCCCTTAGACCTCGTTTTCATTCCTTTGTGTTGTATTGTTTTAAATTCACTTCTGGCTCAAGTTGTAAGCATCTATATACAGTGCTCATGGTRCAGTACTAGTAATAGAGGGGACAACTTTATCATCACCAAATACCTTGAATGATCTGAATTGACTTTATTTGCCTCATGGAGAACTTTTCTTGTTGTTACTGGTAAACAKGGTGTAACTAAATCTTTCCATTTACTTTTGTTCCATTGGTTTGTCAAGTTGTCTGTTGGCATGAAATCATCCTGCTCTCTATCTTGTGTATYGTTTGATTCCTCAATGGAGTCAATAGCTGGCTGAGGKGTRAAAATATCAGACGTGTTTCCTGTAGAACTTTCATCTTCTGTTGGCATAGCTTGTTCAGTGATTTCAYATTCTATATTATTTGTCTCATTGGGTTGGACATTTTCTTGTAGATTCTGATAAAAAAAGAAAATTAAAGTTTTACAAGCAGTTTTACTAAAACAGATCAGTTTATAGTAATTGAAAAATATTTTTTTAAATTTGTTGAGACAAAAGTGAGCCAAATCACAATATCTAAATTGGASTCAGCTGACTCTGTATTATCTAATTGTCTTGTTCRGCACAAAAGAAATGACAATGAATATGTCAAAATGAAACAGRCAATCTGAGAAACCATGATTTGGGTCTGGAATAAACACAAGTCTAACCTTGTTATTAGCTTSTTCCAGTAATGGTAATGGAGAATCTGTCTCTTTAATTACATCTACATGTAGTAGCCGTTCTTCATCTTTTTTTTCTTCATGGGCTGAATCTTC